AAATTAAACAATTATAAACAATTAATTTAATCACATAAATAGGTTGATTAAATGTTGTATCTTTAACCACAGGTGTATAAAAATTATTACTACTTTTAATATTTCTATAAAATATGCAACATTTCTGCAAAATTACGTTTAAATATTTCACGTTAAAAAATAAAGTATTGCTATTAATAATGTCTTCAATTATGGTAATCAACAGAACGAATAAAAGAAAAAAAACATTTAAGCCAGACTATCAACGAGAAATCAAATGTACATTTAGGTCAATCAATAACACGACGCATATCGGATTCTTTAACCCTATACCTTCGACGCAGAACGCCTTGCCCTTACCACTACGAATTCTGATCACATATAGAGAGTACAACGACATACTTTCTTACGCCGGAAATTCGAACACAAGTGAAGCTAACAGAAATACAGGCCCAATTAAATGTTGAACCTATATCTTGCGCGTTTTGCTAGTGATCCTTTCACAGCCGTGTCATAAAATGTATACTTTAGTATAAAAAAAAGTGATCAAAGTGCTGCGGAATTCCAAGCTGAAGAAACGCTCTACCATAAATTTCGAAAATTAGCGAAGGCTCTCCTTTAATCTGTCGACATATTGGGCTCATTAACGAATAATAACGTCTGCTATTCTAGAAGGGATTGCAAGAATAAAGCTGCATTTGATAAACAAATATTTAAAAAACGCAATAATTATACATGTTCGATTAAAAATGGCTTATAGTTTAGCAACCGGGTATTCTTTGTTGACTCATTTGTTTAAACAAATTGTTTATCACGATAAAGAATCGAACAAATATTACATGCACATTGAATTGAAATACCACGATACAACAAAAAAAAAGAAGATATCGATTTAAGTATTATGATTCAAATCAAAAAAAGAAGATATCCACCGATTCTATCATTACATTTGCGATCAAGTTTTAGCACTCCAACATTTTATTTTCTCTTATGTTCTCATTATTTTATTACTTAACTCGACAACAACCCAGTCAACACCAATTAGAAGTAACATAATATTAATGTTATAATTTCGCACTGAACAATGTAACTGTATAACATCGTGTATTATATTACATTCATATTGTCGAGTGCGAAATTACAGCATTGATATTATGTTACTCTTACGATTACTCTCGCGTCTACTAAAAAAAATTCTGTTTCCAACAGTTTTTTGACATAGTACAGTCACGCTTAAACGTACGACTCGACACAAAAGATAGCTACAGCCCTGACGTTAAGTCGAGCCCTGCAAAGGGCCCGGCGATCGTCGGCCCCACTCCTGGGCCCAGACCCGTGCTGGAGCCTCTCTGCCCATTCCATTCCAGAGTCGTAGCCGTCTCTCGCGTGCATCGCCCGCCGGAGGAAGCATTCCATTCATGTCTCGGAGCGCGCAACACGCTCGTCGCAGCGCCGCGTGAGAAAGAGAAGGCCACGAAAGAGGGCCCCGCCGCGAGGAGAAGCGCAGGGTCCTCACTACCTGGCGCCGCCTTCAGCGACGACGACGACGGGCCGTGATGACGGCCGTGATGACGATCGACGGGTTCGCCAGGAACGTCTGCCGCCCGCCCTGCGGATCCATCCAACGCCAAACACGTGGTCCTGCGTTATTGTCTCGCCGACGCGCCGAGCGCATCCGGGGAATCCGGGGATGCAGTGAAGCTGCACTGGTGCGTTCTTTCGTTTACCTTGCTCCTTTCTTTTTTACATCGCTTTCTCGTCCTATGCGAGTCTCGCAAAATATTACGTACCGTCGATCGCAAAAAGGAAATTCGTCAAACGTGATTGCTCTTGATAAAAACGATATAGAGTAGGAGTATTTTTTTTATATTGAATCTCAAAAGTTCCGTGCAAACATGAATCGCGGAGGTGTGAAGATAATACGCGTATTATCTCGCTTTTATTTCGAGATAGAATTGGGTGTCTGTAAATATAGCGGCTTGATTAAGAGGTTTATCATGTGTTTGTGCTACTGATAAAGACGAGTGGTTAGAATGGTAAAACATTTAGCGAGATGTCTGCCTTGTCGCGCCGGCGCCGACTAGAATGCTATGGGAATCTCGTGTTCCCTATTTTCAAGTAGATAACGTCTCATTTCGCAGCGGAATTAATACAAATTTCATAATCCTTCACCGGTGAAGTAAATTCTAACTCTTCTATTAGCGGTTGAGAAAACAGCAAATTTTTTATCGTACCAGATTATATAAAAATCTGAAAAACTTCAATATATTTGTCAAAGCTTCAACGAATGTCTACCATCTTAGAAGTTGAACTGTATTTTACTTATTTTCTTTAGATTTAAATTTATTTATTTATAAAAATTCATACAATAAATATCGATGATGTCTTTAAAGACCCTATTTGCCGGTGGAAGATTAAACTTTATTCATATAGCCTTGGCGGAGTGTAATTATGCAATAAGCAAAACAATAATCTTATTATTTTCCATGTCAAAATCGTACATCAATACTGTCGCGTCGATAAAACCGTAATCGTAATATGACTCAGTCTGTGAATTATCTTTCGAATACCAAGCTACATATTCTGATTCCTATCATATCTGCTTTCTGCTTATTTAAAATCATTCACTGGCACTGTGGTGGATCGCAGAGAACGGCGCTATTGTAAATAATCTTTATTTAGCAAAGCGGTCTGCGAAGGGTCGTAACCGACCGTCATCCTGACTCTTTTCGTCTTCAAAGCGCATAACCGCCGCGCATCCTCCGCATGCTAACGCGGCTGTTGAACTCCCCGGTCCCTCTTCA